TTGGTGAGCTTAAATATCAGAAGGTAAAATAATAGCTGCTGGGTCAAAACTGGACCAGGACCTCCACGTCTCCCGTTCCTGAAGAGGGATTTGGTGCAGTGGTGATTTTTTGGGTCTGGGACAGCAGCTTTTCCAGAGGACGGGCACACCCTGCAAAGACTCACTGTAACACTTCATTAGGAGGTTTATTTGCCCAGTTGTCACCTTTGGGTAGAAGGAGTCCTGCCTGTTCTCAAGCGTGCGATGGTCGTCTGGAGGACGCCGGGCACCGATCCGGCCCCAGGCGCGTTCCCGCAGCCATGCCTGCGGCCGACTCCCTGGCCAGATCCGTCATCACGCTGCTGCCAGCAGTTCTTTAAAGGGTCAGAAGGATTTAGCAGAGCAATAATAAGATTACAGAACCTTCCCCCTTGGTCACCTCTATTCATATGAGTTCAGTCACTACCTGAGCCCTTTACACTCTGTTCATCCAGCCCCACTAAAGCTCTGCCATGCGCACAGTGACCTGACAGTTTGTTCCAGCCTTAAACAACAGGGGGAAAAAAAGCAGTATTATTGATAACCACAGGCCTTCTCTGTTGACTTTTAATGAAAGGGATCTCACACCACCACCCAGCAAAAGGAACAGCAACCCTCGGCTCGCTCATGTGCTCCAGCCTGTGCAGACCAAGTCACGTCTCAGGATGCGTGAAGGATGGGGCAGCGACTTTGCCATATGGACCAGCCTGGAGAAGAACATTAAGCACTGACCAAGATCTGTAGCAGTTCTGCTGGGCTTGAGCACCTACAGGGAAATAGTGGAAGGAGAGACCGCATTTGCTTATCTCTGTCCTGAACTATGTTTCAGAGGTGGGAGGTGGTGAAATCAGCATGAGCTTAAACTAGTTTGGAAAAGGCTGGTAAGATCCAGAAACCTGAAAATAGCAGAGGTCAAGCTTCCAGAAACATCCAGTATCTTTATCTTCTAATCCAATAAAGATGCTACTAGAAAGCAGTGATAGCCTGGACTAAACTAAGTAATGCCATGGCCAGGCTCTGTTAAGCAAGCATTAGGTCAGCTCAGTAAGGCATAAGAGTAACCTTAAAAAGCAAAAAGTGATTGCTCGAAAGCATTGTCCTCATAGTAAAGAGGGACCGTATTCCCCAAAGTTCCCTAAGATCAAACGTGTTTGAGATACGATGATTTTATTAGAGTTACTATAATATTCAATAACTGTTCAAAGGAGGAAAATGTGATGAGATTTGTGGTGGTACTTAGTGTAGATTCTGTTTTTTTTTTATTCAAAATATGATAATCACTCACAAGACTGCAGGCACATTTTGGTTCCTGAACATTTGACGTATCTACACTTGACTGAACAACGATTGGTTACAAAGCCGGTTGTTCTGGATAAATTAATAACTGTCACTTTGTTAAGAATAGAAGGGTAGATGTTGACCTGGAAAGCATTTAGCATCAGAATTATTAGAGTAATGCTCCTGGGTGGAATAAGACAGGATTATCCTGATTCAGCTCCTCCCCGATACTCACTTACCCAGGTTTTGAAATATTAGGCTAGAGCTTTCAAAATTCTTTGGCACTTAGGCAAATATCCACAACTGAATGAGCTGCTGGAAGTTGGCAACTAGTCACCTCTGCTGTCAGCAGAGTACTTTGCCACAGACAAATACAACGTCCCCATCTTTATGTATCAGAGCAACAATGCAAAAATATTTCCACCTCTGAGAGCCCCAAAACAAGCTGCTGTTTACCGCCACCCACATGCGTACAGGAGGCAGGACTTTGGAGGCCACCTGAATTTTGCAATGTGATTTATCTAACAATTGCGCTACTACGAGCAGGGAAGGACACCTTTGGCCTGATCTAGTCAGGCACATTAAGGACAAATTCAGTTAAACTTCACAGCAACCCCCATGTGAAGCCAGTGGGCAGGTATTAGAGAGAGGCCAAGTTAGAACATCTCTCAACTGCTTCCACCCTGCTCTTGATACCAGTTACTAGCATAAATACATTTTTGTTCAGTATCTAATTTGAGAGTAAATGCGGTGTTTGCTAGGTTACGTTGGCGGATAGCAAGTAATACATTACAGAAGGGAAGGAGTGGGTACAGAGGCGTCACCAACAGCCAAGATACCCAAGCAAGTCTGCTCTGGTGTCCTCCAAGGACCTCGCAGGGTTGAACCGTAGTGCTAAGAAACAAAACCTCTACAAAAATCCTGGCTACGACCCAGTTCCTTCTTGGAGACAGGGATCAGGACCCTGTTCTCATCATGGTACCAATAACAAGAGTTATTATAGTGTCCTCATAAGATCTCCCCGTGTCTGACTTTGTTCGTACAGGTAGCAAATACCGTTACTTTCCCACAAGATTTTCCATTGAAGGAGGCAAGACTGAAAACAGAAAGACATTCAGTCCTGTTTCACAGATGAGGAAGTGAAACACGGAGCTTGTTTCACAGAATAAAGCAAAGTCTAAAAATAAACCCAGAGTTTCCAGGCTGTTGCCTTAACTAGAAAAGCATCTCCTTCCCCTACCACTTTGGTTCCTATCCCTAACACTTGATCGGTTGCCTACTTTTCCCTACTTTGCAACACCATAACAACCTATGGCGACATGAGAACTCGCTCCAAGGCTCAGTCATTTATTCAGCAGAAATTCTGCTTGGTTAGTTCTGTTTTACGCAGAGATGAATCAAGTCAGGGCACAGGGAAGTGCTGGAGCACATGACGCTAAAGGAAATGTCATTTCAGCTCTGCCCACTCACTCTTTTTAAAACAATTTTTGCACCTCTCTTTCCATTATGAACATCTAGTTTGGAGCTCACATATTTGGAGCCTCCAGCTCTGCTCTCTTCACATCCTCAAACATGGAATTCAAGGTAATGAGGGCATCCTCTTGCCCACAACATAAGGGTTTTATTATTATTATTATTTAAAAAGCCACAAAACCAAAGGTGCAAAGAAGGAAATGTCACCTCCTCTTCCAAGCAAGGATTGTTTTAGCTCTTTGCTGCTCCAAAGAGCTCTCACATCCTGCCCAGCTCAGATCAGCCACTTCTGCAGGGTTCATCTGCTTCATCCAGTCCATTCACTCCTGGTCAGCCCAGGATCCCTGGGTCATCCTGCTGCCCTTCAGCCCACCCTGGCCAGCACAAGAACTTCCACCTTCCAACCTTCGCCTCCCCACTCCATCTCAGCCAGAGGCTATTGGGGTCCCTAGGCCCAGAGATCCATCTCCATAGGGTGCTGGAGGGAGGAGAACGTGCTGAAGCACAGTTCTCTGTAGCCAGTTGACAGACGTCTGAGCTCGCACACCTACAGCTTCATGGGACAACAAGTCAAAAACAAATAAATCGCCAGCTTTGCATTTAGTCTTCAGGTTTCTGCATATTTCACCCGTTCTCTTCTAAGAAGCCTTTTCCTCACAGACTGGCAGCCAGCACTGCGGTGCAGGTAGATCCCTGCATGCTTTCAGCCCAGTGTCTGAGGACAAGAAGGAGCCTCTTGAGCAGAGCATGTGCACACTGCTGCTTCCCACACCTTTCCAACAGCCTAAATGCAGAGTTTCTACGAGACTGGTAAAGGTGTGGGGGGAAGAGATGGCAGCCGAGCTTGGATTGCAGGTCCTGTAAAGACACCATGAGAGTGAGCACCACTGCATTTTTCATAGCAAATTCATCATCATCTTCCCCAGCAGGGTTTGAGCAGCAGCAGGCTCAAGATAATTCTTCCATTGGCAGAACCAGCCCAAAAGCTCAGTCCCAGGTGGTGTCAGCCTGAAAATACCAGGGAGGGGAAGGAGTTCTTCACTGCCTTGCTCGGCCCCACCTTCTATCCTGTTTTCCCAGAACATCCTATGGAGTAAATATTACCTTTGCCCCACAGAGAGGCTGGCACAGTTTAAGATTTAAGCCTTGGGTCATCGCTGATGTCACAACTGTCAAGGAGCCGGGGAGTGGCAGTTGGCAGCGAGGTGGGTGGGCTGTGTCCTCCTCGCCCGTGGCACAGCCCCAAAGGGCCCAAACAATGAGAGCAGAGAAGGTCCAGGGATCATAACCAGGAGCAGCCAGAGTCCAGGTTGCCAGACAAATTTGCAATGATGAGACAAGGTCCAAAGTCAAGCCAGGAAGCCAGGTCAGTAAGGCGAGGTCATGATCAGCAAGGATTGTAGCACCTTCTCTGGTGATGCTGGGACTGGATCAAACCACTTTCTACAGTGATCTAATTTTTATTTTAAAGTGGAGGTATGTCCACCTCCCCAAAAGATGGGCTTCAGGGCCTCATCGCCCTTTCCCAAACAGCTGCTCCATAAACCCAGGCATCTCCCTCCTGTATCGCTCATCCGTGGCTGACTGCTTCCCACCTTTTACTTTCACCTGGAAAGATCCAACAGACAGGAGAGACTGAGCTTGGCCTTGTGATAACAGCTCCCAGGGCAGGATTTGCTGCAGGGCCTAGGGAGCTGCCGACCTCCATGCTGCCAAGGGAGAAGCCAGGCATCTGCAAGTGGGTTATTTTTCCCTGTGCCTGGGTGCTGTCCTTGGAGTCCTCTGCTCACCATGCACAGAGAAACGGCTCCTAATGAGGAAGAAAAAGCACAGCAAAATGACTGGTGCATAGGAATTGTGCATCCTTCTGCAGGATGACCATTTTCACAGGACTTTCTCCTCATTTATGATGTTTAGGTGTAGATTCTCCCCATTTTCTCCTCACCTCCAACAGGGTTTGACCACTTGAGTAGTGTAAGGAAACCTGCACTTGGGAGATCCAGTTACTGGTCTTCCTTTAGTTGCCAGTTTACGGGGTGTGACCAGGAGAAACAGGTAGCTAGAGCTTTTTGTGTGCCATGGAGTCCCTACCTGCAGCAGTGACCGCTCAGTAACGTTGGGGAAACAGAGAAACCCTGGAACTCTTGCAGTTCTGCCAGGCTGAATTGCCACCAGTGGCTCCAGGGATGCTGGGGACAGTACAAAACAAGGAAGCAGCTTGGGATGGGGCCTTAGAATAAACAGTTGCCCTGCAGGATTCCCTGGAAAGGCCTTGAATGGCTCCCAGATGTTTCACGCTTTGTGCCCCAGCGTTTGCGGAGGGAGTCAAGAAAGCTCTTCTTAAACTTCTCATTTGCAAAAACATAGATCAGGGGATCCAGACAGGTGTTTGCCATAGTGAAAACCCAGCAGACATAGTAGGTGACTTCCACTTGGTGCAACAACTTGCAAGACATGCTGTAGTACTTCACAATTGTGCCGACGGTCCTGCAGATGTGCAGAGGCCCAAAGCAGACGGCAAAAATCAGCAGAGATACCGTTATCATCTGTAAGGACCTTTCCTTCATCTTCTTGCCTCTGGTGCTTTTATTTGCTACTTTAGTAATGGCAGCTCCCAAAAGAGCACCAAAGGCCAAGGAAATTGCAAAAGGGAGAAGGAAAAAGAATATACTCATAACCAGGTTGTAGAAGAAGTAGAGAGAGACCAAATCTGACTGATGAATATTCAGGCATCTTGGGGAGCCATTGACAGGTAAAGTCTTGAGGAGGAAGAAGAAAGGCAGCCCCTGGACAAAGATGACAAGCCACACAAACAAGGACAGCTTACTCAGGAAGGTCCTCTTCTTCCAAAGGGACTTGTTCTTGTACCTCACAACAACAAAGTAGCGGTGGATGCAGATGAGCATCAGGAAATAGATGCTGCTGTACATGTGCACAGCACTCAGGAACACTTCTAGCTGGCAGATAAACTGCCCAAATGGCCACTTGTTGCCCAGACTGAAATAGGCAATCCTGAATGGAGCAGCAGGGATGATCAGAACATCTCCCAAGACCAGGCTGAACTGGAGGATCATGCCTGAATCCCACTTCTTGATGCGGAAGCAGAATACCCAGAAGCTCAAGCCATTCAGGGGGACACAGGCCAGGAGGAGCAGGGTCGCCAGGACAGGGATGGCAGGGTGCATCTCCTGGGGCAGGCACTCCGTGCTGTTGTTCATGATGGTGAGGTAGGCCCGTGGTTTTAGGAGAAGCTTCTGCACTGCTGAGACCTAAGCTACAAAGGATGAGGTGAAAAGAGAAAGCCGTGAAACTACCAGAGCCCATGCAAGCTGAGGCTGAGCTTGATTGAAGGCAGCGGCAGTGCAAGTAGCAGAGCCTGGCTTTCAAACAAGATTACTGGTCTATGGCCAAAGACAACCACTGACTATCCCAGCCAGCACAGAATGAGACCTGGTAAATGCAAGAGGCCACATCTTGCCTTTTGCAAGCAAATACAATGCAGTGGGAATCAGACACCGGCTTCTTATGCTCAGCTTGGCTTTCTCTGATTGCACTGCAAAAGAAAGCGAAAAGGCTGAGAGAGCCATAGAAGCAGCTTAATGTTCACCACTACGAACTCCTGAGGGGATGCAATAATGATGGTGTTACTGCTTGGCTCCAAAAGACTTTGCATTTCAAATCATTTGTAAGATCCCGGCACCATCCCACTACAGCAGTTTTGAAACACTCCCTGGCTGCTGTCAGACTTCATGGCTGCTGTCAGACTTCATAGCTGCTTTCTCCGCTACCAGCACTGGCTACTGCCTTGTGGGTAGCTCTTTATCACCGGCCATACAAATAGCTGTAAGGCTGCCCAGGTGCTTTCTTGCCTCACTTTTTCAGGGAGAAGGAGGCTCCAAATGGGCTTAGAAAAATAAATGGCCCTGTCACCACCATGCTCTGCAGTGACCAGAGGAGCACAAGGCAGGGAGGCTGGAGGCATGCAAGTTGTCTGACTGATATTTTTCATACTGCGGTCTTCCTGGCAAAATAACCCGTGCTGGGTAAGGACACATCTGCTTGTAACATTTCTAACCTTTCCCGGAGCCTGTACAAGTTGTTTGCTAGCTCCTGGCTAGGAAGGCAAAGCTGGGAATCCTCCTGCATCCCAGAGGAGCAGGTTAGGAGCATTCCTGGAAACCTCTTCTCGGTGAGGATCATGAGTGGTGCCGGCCTGGTTCCTGTGGGTCCATTGCTAGCAGGACCCCTGGGAGACTGGAGCAGAGAAACCGCTGAGAGCCAGTTCCCAGGTAGGCAAGGTCAGGGTGCCTACAGCAAATAAGAGAGTAGTCTACACAGTGAGATGGCCCCAGCCTGTGACTGCATTGAGCATACGCACTGCCCAAGCCTTCAAAGTCTCCCGAATTGTATCTATAAAGTGACCCAGATTGGTGGCAGCTGCCGCTGGCAGGGACGAGAGCCTCTGTGCCACCCCTGCGCTCTGCCCGGCCCCGGCCGCTCTCCTTCTCTGGGCACAGCTCGGAGGCTCACGGGCACCTCTGCAGCAGGTTGAATGCTGGGTAAATATATCTTTAATAAAGCACTTACCTTGTCATTCAAAGGCTGAATCTGGATGACTGAAACCAGTTACCATTCTTTTGCCTAATTTCAAACCGTTGGATTTTCACCCTGCTTCTAATATTGGTCACAGCTCCCTCTCCTTTGGGATGTAACGGAGTGGCAGCCAGGCATCACCCCGGGCTGCTCCCAGCCCTGTGCACAGCTACCCTTTGCTGTGAGCCTTTTCCAGGAAGAGTATTTTTAGCCAGCCACGAGGCCCCTGCGCTCTGCTGGTGGTCACAGGTTGCCGCTGTGAAACCCACATCCGTAGTGATGGGACAGGACTGGCCCTATGGGAGAGAGAAGGCCTGAAGGAGCCATCTGGGACCCGCTCACAGATGAAGAGCTCTTAAACACAGGCCTCTTCCTCCTCTCCTGCCTTCCGTCAGCTGTAGAAACTTGCAGTTAAAAGGCACCTTTCTGCTCGCCCCAGGATAGCTGGACGTGGTAGCTGGGGAAGGGACCTGGCTTGAGCAGTCCCAACGTTCCTCTCCACCTGGGTTGCCCAGGACTGGCTGAACACGAGATGCCGTTTCCCCTGCCCAGCTTTTAACTCTTGTTTCAGCTAAACCAGGCACCTGAGCCATGGGCAGGAGAGCACTGCTTATAATATGCAAAACTGTCAGCTAAAGAGATTGGTTTCCAAACCAGAGAGCTGTGTTGATGCTGTGGACATCCATGTTTCCATTAACACTCTGCTTAGCAATCTACCTCTCCCTGCCTTTGCCCCCAAAGCAAGCCCCAACTCTGAAAAGCTAATTTTAATACATATGACAATTTCTTTGTGAAGAAGGCAGGGAGATTCTACTCTGAGTGAGAGGACAAAATGAGTGGAAAGAACAAAACATCCAAAAATTGCTCAAAAAATTGAATGCAGCCTTAACTTCACAAGGCAAAGCAGAAGATGAGTCGCTTTCACTTAACTTGAAGGTGAATTAGGCAAAACATTAGCCATGCAGTTATCTCAGCTACAGCAGTAGAAGTTAAAACTAATTTAAAGTAGAGGAACCAAATCTAGTATCCGACCTCGCATTTCTGAACACAACAGGAATTTTGATCACTCTTTAAAACATGTCTCCTGTTTTAGATCCTATAAAACTTCTCTAGCATTGCACACGGTTACATTCATGGAGAGTTTTGTCTTTGCAGACTGGTTCCTGTATGTGTTGAGTGTTAAAATAGCACATTAATGCACTGTTGCCCCAGACTTACCAGCTGTGCATGTGGAACAAGGCCGTGGGGCTGCAGCAGGTGCCAGGCCGGGCAGCCACGGCCAAGCTCCTTCAGCCCTGCAGAGAGGAGAAATGCGGAGCAGGAAGAGGCTTCTGCATCTGCCAAACTGCACGATGAAAAGGGAGAGCTCAGTAGCAAAACTGCAGCAGCTCAGAACACTGCAACTGGTAAAAGAACAAGCTGATTTATGGGAACAACTCACTCTGCTAGAGCAACTGGGACCTCCTGAGTCAGGTTGAGAAGCGTCACGTAAGCACGTGCTGGGGAGCGGCCTGGCTGCCGCAGAGCCCATGCTGCTTCCCCAGGCTCCTTGCGGGCCCACAAATCTCCTCAAAACTACTGCCATCGACGTAACTGAGGACAACAAGCCCCAAATCTTTGCTTTGTAAATAGGACAATATGCAGAGTAGAGACTAAAAGCCCAGAAGGTGGAATACTGATGCTCCAACCCAAGGAACACCATGGGGCCACATGGAAATGACCCCTATGGGAGGGTTATTCTGGTCAAAATTTGATCCTCTGAATCCTCCATAAGCACTCCAGTGCTGCCTGGCAGCCTGTGCTGTCCTGGCTTGTAAGCAACCATTTCAAGTCAAAAGTGATGTTTCTGAGAGGAATGTGGCTTGGTGTACAGCTCGTAGCATCTGTTAAAAGCAGAGGCTGCAGCCCACAGCACTGTCTGCCTGGGACTTTAACTTGATCTAAGCCACATTAAACAACTTTCTTTTATAGCATCTCGCAGCATCTGATGAGAAGCGCTCTATATCTTTCACTTGAATAATGTACAACAAACTAGGGGAGCAGAAAGCATTCCTGGATCTCCCCTTTTAAATGCTGCTGTTTGAGAGTAGCTAAACCCAGCGGGGATTGTGAGCAGAGCTGGTGGCAGCAGCCCCCAGTGACAGCAACCCCCCAGTGACAACCTGCACACCCCTGCCCCCCTGGTACAGCCCGTCCTCACTGGGGCAACTTGCCCCCTTCCCATGCAAGAAGGGGACACGCGTATAGCAGGATCTTAGGGAGAAACACCTGGGGTGCTGTAAATCCACAGCCACACTCGCTTGAGGCAGAGCAGGACAAGGAGCCTCAACATGGCTCCATGGCACTGTAGACACATGTGGAAAACCTGGGAGTCTCCAACACATTGCCCAGCTTCCTGGAGAACACAAAATCAGGCCCAAACTCTCCCAAAGGCTTAATTACATCAACAGACACTTGTTTGCAGCTGTGTTGGGCTGGCCCTTTGGCCGAACAGTAGGATCTGCAAATCATAGAATGCATAAGGTTGGAAGGGACCTCTAGAGATCATCTAGGCCAACCCCCTGCACACACAGAGTCACCTAGAGCACGTGGCACAGGACTGCATCCAAGCAGGTTTTGAAGATCTCCAGAGAAGGAGACTCCACAACCTCTCTGGGCAGCCTGTTCCAGTGCTCTGTCACCCTCACTCAAGAATTTTTTCCTTAAGTTCCTGTGAAACTTCTGGTGCTTCACTTTGTGGCCGTTTCCTCTAGTTCTGTCAGCAGCACCATCCTCCTCACTGCCTCCCTTGAGGTACTTCTAGACACTGCTCAGGTCCCCTCTCAGCCTTCTCTTCTCCAGGCAGAACAGGCCCAGCTCTCTCAGTCTCTCCTCATAGGGCAGATGCTCCAGGCCCTCGACCATCCTCATAGCCCTGTGCTAGACTCTCTCCAGCAGCTCCACATCCCTCTTGTACTGGGGAGCCCAGAACAGGACACAGTTCTCCAGATGTGGCCTCACCAGGGCTGAGTAGAGGGGCCCATCATGAAGGTTGTCTCCCTGCGAGGGTCTTCACTTGGGCCATGGCATCACACTGCTCACCCCGGGCCAACTCAGGGCTTTGCAGATCCAAACTGCCACTGACTGGGTACCGAGAACACGTTGTCACCGCCAGCTCCCACTACAAGGTGCATTTCTTTGGCATAACCTTCTCCAACACAGATGCAAAACAATTTGGATACTTGTATAAAAAAAGCAAAACCTAAAACGAAACAAGCCTCTGTGTTGCAATCACATGTTCCTCTGCAGTCAGGACAAGAGAACAAATGTGTTATTCACTCAGTAGCAAAGAGGAACGTGGTCCTGTCACAGAATCACGTCTTACGCCATCAGTCTGCAAGTCTGGGGATGACTTGCAACCCACAGCCTGTGCTGGCTGCCAGGATATGGAACCCGAACCTGTAAAGAAACATGCAAGGGCTGAATGAGAAAGGAGCCAGCCTGAACAGTGTATATGTAAAAGAGTTTATTGGAGGTAAAGAGGAAGATATTTACAGCAATAAATCCAGCATGTGATCAGCAGAGCAAGGCATCCCTGTCTCTCCATAGTTCCCTAAGGAAGCCGTACCCAGCACATCTGCCTGCC